GTTTGCACTGCACGCCTGCTACGATTTCGCATTTGACAGCACAGAAACGAACGCTGCCGAACCAAGTGTGTTAACACCAATGAAACACACAAGACCGGCTGAACTTTGGGGGTAAACAACCCAATATCACAAGTGTGACGGTTGAGTACACATTTGGTTAGTTAGGACCCTAGAGGGTCGAGGTGTGTGAGTTTTGGTGGAACTGACGACAAGGACAAATGTTCCAAGTGGCATTTGGTGTACTCGCTGTGTGGTTGGATTGCGACTCGCAATCTCTATTCAGACCTCGGTCCTAAGTAGACCTCGGTCATTACGATCACAAGGACCGTAACCGAATTGGTGATTCGGTGTTGCTCCTCCCAACCCTGAGACCCCATGACCGGTTTCGTCTTCCTTTAGACTCATCAGATGGAGATACCCTGAGCTGGGGTGGACCTCGAGGTATAGTGTTCAAAGGTTGACGCCCTGACCACTATGGCTCCTAGGTCCACGAGCAACGTTTGGCACAGCGGTAATGTGTTCCAAGTGGCATTTGGTGTACTCGCTGTGTGGTTGGATTGCGACTCGCAATCTCTATTCAGACCTCGGTCCTAAGTGGACCTCGGTCATTACGATCACAAGGACCGTAACCGAATTGGTGATTCGGTGTTGCTCCTCCCAACCCTGAGACCCCATGACCGGTTTCGTCTTCCTTTAGACTCATCAGATGGAGATACCCTGAGCTGGGGTGGACCTCGAGGTATAGTGTTCAAAGGTTGACGCCCTGACCACTATGGCTCCTAGGTCCACGAGCAACGTTTGGCACAGCGGTAATGTGTTCCAAGTGGCATTTGGTGTACTCGCTGTGTGGTTGGATTGCGACTCGCAATCTCTATTCAGACCTCGGTCCTAAGTGGACCTCGGTCATTACGATCACAAGGACCGTAACCGAATTGGTGATTCGGTGTTGCTCCTCCCAACCCTGAGACCCCATGACCGGTTTCGTCTTCCTTTAGACTCATCAGATGGAGATACCCTGAGCTGGGGTGGACCTCGAGGTATAGTGTTCAAAGGTTGACGCCCTGACCACTATGGCTCCTAGGTCCACGAGCAACGTTTGGCACAGCGGTAATGAGTCTAAAGGAAGACGAAACCGGTCATGGGGTCTCAGGGTTGGGAGGAGCAACACCGAATCACCAATTCGGTTACGGTCCTTGTGATCGTAATGACCGAGGTCCACTTAGGACCGAGGTCTGAATAGAGATTGCGAGTCGCAATCCAACCACACAGCGAGTACACCAAATGCCACTTGGAACACATTACCGCTGTGCCAAACGTTGCTCGTGGACCTAGGAGCCATAGTGGTCAGGGCGTCAACCTTTGAACACTATACCTCGAGGTCCACCCCAGCTCAGGGTATCTCCATCTGATGAGTCTAAAGGAGGACGAAACCGGTCATGGGGTCTCAGGGTTGGGAGGAGCAACACCGAATCACCAATTCGGTTACGGTCCTTGTGATCGTAATGACCGAGGTCCACTTAGGACCGAGGTCTGAATAGAGATTGCGAGTCGCAATCCAACCACACAGCGAGTACACCAAATGCCACTTGGAACACATTACCGCTGTGCCAAACGTTGCTCGTGGACCTAGGAGCCATAGTGGTCAGGGCGTCAACCTTTGAACACTATACCTCGAGGTCCACCCCAGCTCAGGGTATCTCCATCTGATGAGTCTAAAGGAAGACGAAACCGGTCATGAGGTGTCAGGGTTGGGAGGAGCACACCGAAACACCGCTTCGTTTACGGTCATTGAGATCGTAATGACCGAGGTCCACTTAGGACCGAGGTCTGAATAGAGATTGCGAGTCGCAATCCAACCACACAGCGAGTACACCAAATGCCACTTGGAACACATTACCGCTGTGCCAAACGTTGCTCGTGGACCTAGGAGCCATAGTGGTCAGGGCGTCAACCTTTGAACACTATACCTCGAGGTCCACCCCAGCTCAGGGTATCTCCATCTGATGAGTGTAAAGGAAGACGAAACCGGTCATGGGGTCTCAGGGTTGGGAGGAGCAACACCGAATCACCAACAAGGACAAATGTTTTTCACAACACAAAGACAACCTTCGAATTGTATGAATGGGTTGTTCGGACACGAAACATGGTTGATTGTGTTAAAACAACACACTTTGTGAACAACTCGATGTTCCGTTTCTTTGCACAGTTACCAAAAATACTAGCGATTCTCCTGGTGCCAACCAAGTTACACTTTACAGATATTTCGCTGTTCTAACTTCCGTTTAATCTGAATCTAAATCACCCATCTCTGTATCAGGAATTTGGCTCCGTTCTGAGTATTCCAGGCTCTTTCTGACCTCGGTCATGGCTGTTTACTGACTGTTACATATATCGATTGAGGTGCGCAATAAGATACTTGACTGCGATTGTCAGGTCGGTCTGTTATATCAACGTATAGGTGGCACTGATCCTCGGATACCTGGTATCCACGCCCGAACATCGGTCGCCAAAGAAGACTTGGTCTTGTTTAATTGATGTTGGTTGGTACAAGGTTCGAAGAAGCAGTCGTTAGTTTGGTACCCGAAAATAGTGTCACTGCCTACTGCAATTGATTTTGCTCGTTGCATCTCACACTCCGCATTGGAGTCCACGCGGCACACCTTGCGCCTGAAATATACCACGGGACCTAGCACACAACCGGTCCCAGTGATGTGTTCACTGTTGTTTTCAAGTTGGCCTTGTCTGTTTGAAGTGTACGATGCTTCGTCATCTTTTGGGCGTTCATTTCTTGTGAACCCACCAGTGATCATCACAAGGAGACTGTCTCGCGGCTGCTGCTTTATTTTCATACGACAGTTACCTGTTAGGACATGGTATGCATGCCTTGATCCAGCATTTTTACTTAGTATATTTGCCCCCCCCCCAAATATAGCTCCTTTTCACTTCGACTCTTATTTCTTGTTTCACACTCATTTGATAACGAATACTGTTCAAATTACTAACGTAGTGCTGTTCAGGTTGGTGACAACCATGTCATCTGCTGGCCAGTTCGGGGTTTTGCCCGACCGATTGCACAGTTCGAAAACAGTACACATCGACAAAGGCGGACGACTCACGTGTGAGATGGGCTGCGTCTACCCAATGTAATGCTTCTCTCTACTGCTGCTTCAAAATTTCCTTTGAGTAGCGTACTACAGTACAGAAGTGGATAATCACTGTCAGTTTCTTATTTTGCGTAGCATACAGTGGCCATTTATCTGGTCCATGCAGAAACTGGATAGCTTGTGGCTGTTGGTGCGTCGTGTTTGGTTAGTGAATATTAAAATAACCGCACCAGCCTTGCCGCGGTGGACATCAGCTTCTACCGTCTGGTCACAGAGGACTGCAGCTCATGCGCCCAATTTATTGTGCTGCCTAGCTCAGCCATTGTTTACCATTATATTACCAAAGTGCTTGACTTCCTTCGCTTTACCGTCAATCCCCAGATCGCATCCTAGGCGTGTCTACTGAAATTCTAATAAAGTAGTGGAAAATTTAGTGCTTTCACAGGCGCTTGATTTGGCGAACCGTAAGTTTATCGACATAGAATCCGATATGTCAACATTTCGATTGTTTTCGTCAGTAGCAGACACAATACAATCGGAACATATACACGGATTTAAATACGGAACAATTGACGACACCGATCAACGCGTCCCATTACAACCTAATTAATCGCCTCAAAAGTTTCTGAACATAACACGGTTTGGTGTGCCCCAACTAGCAACGCCTCACTGACTGCCAATATTACCGGGTTCCTGTTGCGTAATAGCACCTTGTAGGCGGTTTTCGGGTTTACATGATATTAATGAGGCGATCAATTAGGTTGTCTTTGTCTTAATTGGGACATGTTGATCGGTGTTGACACTTGTTCTATTTATAATTCCGTGTGTCGGTTCCTGGTTGTATTTGCGATTATTGAGAACAATTGAAATGTTGACATATCACAATCTTTGTCTTCTGTCTGCTTGATGAAGTGGCTAAAGGGGACCTAATGTGTGCTAGTTGCCAGACTGAGCGCTTCCATGACGGACTCTTCGACTGCTTTTTTTACGGAAACCTGTCCGCCTCCAGAAAGCACGACTGCCATTCTGCGGTCGATGCTCAAAGTTGTCGTCGTGCTCTCCTCGCACAATCTCAATCCGGGCAGTAGATGACAGGAGCATTCTCTTTGTGCTGCTGTCGCGCTGCTCTTGAATAACTCAACGTGTTGCATACAAAACGATTGCTTAATGTGTTGGGGTCTGCCGTTCCGTTTGAACTGAACTCGTTCTCTTTTGGCTCCGAATCTCAGCCGAAAATCAGAAGTCAACGCTTGGAGGTGATAGCGTGTTGCAGCACCGAACCAAGTAGTGTAAAATTGACGGACATTTGTAAGTTAACCAAGGTAGCTTCACATATCAGAACAGCTACATCAGCTGTCCGGATTGTTAGACCAGTTCCGCTAGGCAATGGGAAGGTTGGTGCGAATGTCGTCTAGACGTAAATGTTCCTGAAACCACTTGATGTATCGGTTGCACGCCACTGACCTAACTTGTTTTCCCGTTGGATTAATTAGTTTTCCTGAGAGGTTTTGCTCTCCCTGGCAGGTTGCCATTAGTGTTGCTTAGCGACACCCGCTGACTTGAAATTTCCATGACTGCTTCTAGTTTTCCGGATCGATTCACCTGCACTTATGTATTAGGCGGTGCCGAAAAGTTGGGTACGTACCTGGCTGTGTGTGTCATCCCACTCTTATTCACAGTGCCTTCCGTGAAATGTTTTTTTGGAAATCATTGGATGTTTAGGGGTTTTCTTTTGTTTACATTTAATTCTCATTGCTGCGCTGATCTCCAGATCCAATTTGTCTGAACCTCAGTTTTTGATGCTCCTGATACTAGCGTTTTGTTTCCCGATGGCTTTATGTTCGACATTGTTTTTTCACCATTATCGAAATACCTCAATTTTTTCCATTTACCCAGAAGTACAATGACAAGGAAGCATTAGTCCCGAAATCCAAAGACGTGGAAGCGGAGACTGCAAACACTTACACATTTCCTTCCGAATGGCAAAAACTCGTCAATTCAGTTCAATATACTTTCACATTAATTCAACAAAAAAGTCAGTTTTACTTTTTCTGTCGCACTCTTCCTTTTCTAGTGAATGAACTGATCGCACTTCACAATCGGCATTTACTAGCCACTAATCTAGACGACAATGTGGACGAAGACCAAGAAATCGAACTGCAGACCAAGGAATTGACTGAGGTGATTCGATCGACATGTTCTCTTTTGCACGCGCTCGTGGTCAGCATACCTTGTATCGGACGGACACCTTCCCGCCCGCACGCTGGCTTGATATAATCACATTTCAAACTGCTATTATCCTCTCCTTCTGTACGCGCGTGGTTCACAACTCACAGTTTGTAGTCGGGGCTGGTAATTCTTCGCGTCTTTATCGGTAATTGCCAACCGCACCGGTTCTACTACTCATGCTTTTGCTAGTCCGCGTCTGCTGTGGATAACATTACACCGGTTATATACGTTAATGTCTGGGATCAATTTCGTCGCATTCTACTATCTACTCACACTAAGTTACCTGCATGGTTGCTGCCCTTTGTCAATTGCAGTTAGTGTGAATCGTCCTAGTTTTTTTTATTCAACTTAGTAATTTGATTTCACACATTTTGTCATTGGTTCCATGTTGCATAGTTGGTGCAACCAACGTCTTCAAGCGCAACTCATGCTTGTGCGAGCCAGTAAATCTCTTTTGTTTCCGTATGGCGTTGGTTACTAACTGCCTCCTACCTAGATAGATCCACTAGAGACTACCATCGGCCGCTGGCCGAACTCACGTTGATGCGACAACCTCGCGTCATGCCCAGCCCTTGCGTGACTGGCCATGCCACTTGTCAACGAAGCGTCTGAACGACGTGCCGGCGTATTGCTTATGCCCTTTCATGTGATAGATGCGGTCTCCACTAAGTTTATTGTGTCAATCGACTCCTAATTAGACCGCTGTCATCGCGACTAGACTGGACCTTAACGTGGTGCGATGGTCTCGTGCCTCAACGATCTATTGGGCTATTCTGGGTGGCGCTTTTGCAACTTCAGAACTACTTACCTGTCTGGTAAGTAGTTAAAGACCAGACCAGACCAACTCAGTTGGAGTGAGACCAGCTCCTCATTTTATAAAACCGAATCTCTGTAGCCCAGTGCCAAAACCCCGCTGCTTTGCAGTCAGATTTTTGAACTAAAGACTTACGTTGCGAACTCTAATTGTTCTTCTGTCTAGGCCTGGGAAACCTGACAGTATACTTTCATCACCAATGAAACGCGCTCCTCCGTCACAGATGAAGTACGGATACTGTGGTATTTGCTGGTGATTTGAACGCCCAATTCGGAAAGCTGTCCACTAATGAGCTTCATCTGGGCGGTCAGCACGGTGTAGGCTCCCGTACTGATAACGGTGAGCGGCTGCTACACCTGTGTGCTGATGATCGTCTATTTCTCACGAGCACCAACTTCAGACACAGTACCTGCCGGTGGGTGATACGGCACCCACCAGTCTCGGACTCACCATGGACGCGAATCGATCACATTGCGATCAGTTACCACTGGAGACGATGCGTTCAAAACTGTCGCTCGATTTGGAGCACGAGCATGGACTCTGACCACGCACCGGAGCAGGAGACTGTCCAAACCCACTGGAGCCGCTCCGTTATTGTTCCCATCTTCATAGGAGGCTCACGTTCGGAATACGGCAACCATAGAGGAATCAGTCTGATCTCCATCACAGACTGACTTGCGCTTATGATAGCCAGATTCGTGAGGAACAATCCGGGTTTCGTCGGGGTTGTGGCTGCATCGACCACATCGCCAGTTGTTGGAGCACCGTCACACATATTGGCGGCCCACCGTGGTCGTGTTCCTCGACATCAAAGGTGCTTTCGATTGGGTTGATCGATGTGCCCTTTGCAATTGTCTACTCAGGAAAGGTGGGCCCCAGAACTATGTAAATATTATCCGTGCATTATACGCGCGTAGCACGGGCAGAGTGAGGGCTTACGGCAAGCTGTCGTCGCCCATTACTATCTCCAGCGGTGTGAGACAAGGATGCCCGCTGTCACCTTTCCTCTTCAACTTCGCTATTGACGAAGTCATGTAGATTGCATTTACAGGACATGATTTGGAAGGTGTGGAGCTACTCCCAGGAGAACGACTTCTTGACTTGGAGTATGCAGACGACATTGCCCTCATCTGTGACAACTCCCAGACGTGCCAAGCCGCGCTGGACAGACTAGCACTGGCTGTCAGCCGCTTCGGCCTTTGCTTTGCATCATCGAAATGCAAAGCGTTCCTTCAAGATTGGCAGAGATCGCCTCCTGCGCTGACCCTTGGTGGGGATCAGCTAGAAGTCGTTCAGAAATTCAACTACCTTGGAAGTTGTATCAGCGCCTTTGGGATCGGAGACGAGATCACGAACCGTATAGCAAAAGCTCGAAGTGCTTTTGCTAACCTTCGCCACCTATGGCGGCGGCGCGACATTACTGTTGCCCTGAAGGGTAGAGTGTACAATTCAGTGGTACGTTTGACACTACTGTACGGTTGCGAAACCTGGCCCCTAAGATCGGTGGACATGAAGAGGCTAGTTACCTTCAACCATCGGTGTCTTCGCATTTTGGCTCACATCTGGTGGGAACACCGCGTGAGTTACCAGCGTGTTCGACGCTTTGTTTACGGAACAGAAAAAGGAACTGAACCGCTCAGCACCGTGATTTCACACACCTAACTCCGATGACTGAACCACGTGTTGGGCATGCTAGCCCACCGACTTCCACAACGTGCGTTGTTTGCTCACCGGGGATGTGGATGGAAGAAGAGGAGAGGTGGCCAAGCGATGACTTTGTCCAGGGGAATGAAGTCCCTCACTTCGGAGCTAGCCTCGGTTGGAGCGTCACGGCTCCCTGGTTGGGGTCCAAAAGACGGTGAACACGTTTGGCTGGATACGCTTGCTGACATGACAAGGAGCCGACCTCATCGGCGTTTGTGCTGTGAGTTTCTTTGTCCCTCCCGATCCTTTTTAGCCTCCCCCTTCACCTACAATTTCATTTCGTAACGTGAAACATAATTTTTCATTTTACCTAGTAGCCGGCTGGTAGCTTACCGGAACGATGCCTATCCGTTGCTGGTAGTTCAGCTGGCATGCAACTTTTGTATTTATTTTCCTTTTTCTTTGTGTATTGCGGCACAGTAGCTGAGGTGTTTTGCACCTCTAGCTGACGTGTATAATGAATGATGGATGGTAATGATGACCACGCACCTCTTTGCGCCGACCTACTGGTGCGTTACGTTGGGCGTCCGCAACAACGCTGTGAACGCATAGATATTTGCCAGTTAGCGAAGCCAGATGCTTTGAATGCATATCAAAGTACGCTAGCATCTGACCTGATTAAATGCTCTCTGAACACAGTAAAGGGCCACTGGTCGTATATCCGGCAAACGTTATTAGCAACAGGCTCGTCTTTATGTGGCAAATTAAATTGCCAACCTAGACATTGGGTCTCTATGCATTCTCTGGAAGTTCTGGATGCTCGTTGACATGGTCGGGCTGGAAGCGAACACAATGAGACTCGCAAAGCTCTCAGGGAAAAACTGCTAGCCTGAAAAAAGACTACGAAGCCTGGTGGTCTCATCGTGCCTCGGAGATAGAAACCGCAGGTTCCGTTAGTAATCACCGTAACTTATTCCGTCTCATACTGTAAACAAGCAGCAGGAACCTGATCTTAGCGAGACTATATGCGACGAGAGTGAACAGCCGATCCACAGCTTGTCAAAACGCTTGGAGCGTTGGCCTGAACAGTTTGAAAATCATTTTATTTAGCCAGTTGCCATCTTCCTTATCGGCCATTGATCGCTCTTCTCCCTCGGCCATCCCTTTGGTTCCGCACTCAAGGAAGTTGAACGTAAATAAGCCTGAAGGACCAGATGATTTTCCTCCAGCCCTTTTCAAATTCGAAGGACCTGCTCTTACCGGTGATTTGCACCAAGTATTAGTGAACCTCTAGGAGCTTGAGACTGTCCTGGCAGACTGGAGCCGCCTCGTTATAGTCCCAGTTTTTCAGGGAGGTCTACATTTAGATTCCGGCAATCACAGAGGGATCAGTCGCCTTAAAGTTGCCTTTAAGTTGCTTGCCTCTGTGTTTCTCCATTGAATGACTAACACTCCTGAAAATCAGATTCGCAAGGAGAAAGCCGGATTTCTCCGAAATCGGGGATGTATTGGCCGTCTCTTCACTTTTCGTCAGTTGTTGGACCACCGTCATTTTTATTAGTAACCCACTGCAGTCGTGTTCTTAGACATCAAGGGTGCCTTCGTTCCGGTTGATCGCCGTGACCTTTTGGGCTACCTGCTCAGGAAAGGTGTGCTTGCGAAATAAGTAAACTGTTAAAGTGCTGTACGCGCATAGTTAGGGCAGAGTAAGAGCTTATGCCAAACTGACGCCGCCTTTCAATATCTCCGACGGTGTGAGACAAGATTGCCCGCTGTCGCCTTTTCTTTTTAACCACCATTAACGAAGGAATGGGAACTATATATATATATATATATATATATATATATATATATATATATATATATATATATTTGCAAAAGTCTGCTAACAGACATAATGCCATCAGAAATCATGGGATTCAAACGAAGGTACAGAAACAGTAAAATAAAACACAACACAACAATGTCCATGGTTTCCTCAGAGGGCGAGATACTATCCTGTTGCCCAACCTAAAGTAGGGTGTTGACTTAAGGGGCACCACCCCGAGCCTTTAGCTGAATAGCCTGCCCGCAAGGCAGCGGAGCGAATTCAGGGAATCGCGCCCATTGGGAGCCGGTGACTGATTGCTCAGTTCATACGCATTTCGTTTGTTCCTTTGTCAAACAGGGGCCCAATGCTCCCCAGAATTACAGCACAAAGTTGCTGGAATACAATGCTTTGCCAGGATGAAGCAAGGGGCAGTGACTTTATTTAGTGGCGAGTCATGTCCGCCACGTCACAGTGTTGTTAAACGGACATATGTGGCTTTTTATAGGGAGAACCCTTGCCAGACGAAAACCCACCACGTCCTGGAACACTGCCGCCGAACCATTTGCTGGAACGGGAAAATCCCGAACCACCCAGCTGGCACCACGAGGAGGTTGTTCGGCAAGCCATACATTGGGAATGACTTGGAAGATGTGGATGTGCTCCTACGTGATCGACTTCTTGGAG